AACCCGAAACCCGAAACTGAAAAACCCAGTCTGACTAGAAACATACTCTTCGGTATTTTGGCTATAACTTTCATATATGATCTTGGAATGAGGTGATTAAAGATTTTTTGGAAAGCTTCTGAAGATATCTACAACTTTGGTCTTTTAAGCTTTTCCATATTCACAATGTATCAGTGTATAAAATATAAAATCTCTCCACTAGTCATAAATTTCCAGATTTATACATCGAGCATGATTTGTGCATTTGCTCATATATATATACATATATACATTAAATTGATCTGAAATCAATTTCTAGTATACTCAAACATCAAAATATGTTATTTATAAATATATAACATATTTATTATTATTTATCACAAAATATTCAAATTTTTAGGGTTTTACAAAGACAAACAAACGTAAACTGGAAAATAGCTGTTACAGGCCATCAGTCGACTGACGGGTTTCATCAATCGACTGATGAGCTGACCATTGTAGGCAATCAGTAGCTTATCAGTCGACCGATGACCTTTATCAGTCGACATGGATCAATAGTCGACTGGTCAGTCGACCAAAACAGAACAGAAACTTTTTACAATTGCAGACACTTTCATCAGTCGACACATCAGTCGACTGACCAGTCGACTGATAATAGGTTTTTAGCCTATCATGAACAATGAAACTAAATTTCAAACCTCTTTTAAAAATAGCAAATAAAATCAAAAAATGTAAAACTTTGGAAAATGATTGTAAACATAATAATGAACATGTTACAAAAAGAATTTTTCAATTTGTATTTCCCATTTGTAAAATCTCATCATTTTATAAAATCACATAAGTATGAACATGTTGAAAACTTGATTTTGCCAAAATGACTTAAACAAAACTTTGAAACACTTTAGAATGGATTTATAGACTTATACAAGATATGAAAATAGTGTAAGTAAGTCTTCAATCGATAAACATAATATTTTGAAAATTTAATATAGTATGAAGCACATAAATGTGAATATATATTGCTTCATATATATATAGCAAAACCAAAACAACTTATCCACATAGAAAACAAATAAGTATTATATATTTATTTGTTTGCAAAAAATTTTGTGGATAAAACACATAAACCATTAAATTGTGTGTGTATAATATTGAGCTTAAGATATTAACACACAAAATACAAACCCTAAACTAATTTACCCAAGCTTGATAGATCTTCAATATGCTTGACTTGGTTGCAGATGAAGCTTCATCTTGAATATGACTTGATGTGTAATGGCTTCATACCGATATTCCTCCAACCTCCATTTAATATGACCATGAAGGCTCAATCCATCCAACCTCCAACATATTGTTTGTCTATAATACCTAATAAGAAAACATAAACACTAGAAAAACAATATTAGGAATTTTTTGTAATCATCAAAACAAGATTAGAAGATGTAGGCTCATAACATGAGACCTAACAAATGGATTATAGTTAACAGTTTACTAAATATAATTGTCAATTTACCCATTAAGGTTAACATGTTAACATGTTAAATGAGAACGTTCACACATAAGCGTGATATAGAACCACTGCATTTTACATTTTGCTTTAAAGAAACACAGTTAACATATTAATCAGACAAAAAATTTGTACAACATTTATAGATGACACCCTGGTTATAGTTCATATATATAGATAAGAATTTTAGATCATATACACGTTAAATGATAATAATTAACATATTACAAATATCAGTTAATAGATAATGGATTATAGTTAACAATTTACAAATAACAGTTAACAAATAATTGATTATAGTTAACAGTTTACAAATAACAGTTAACAGATAATGATTAATCGAATCCGAAAGATCTCTCAAATATAACAGTTAACAGATAATGATTAATCGAATCCGAAAGATCTCTCAAATACATCAAACACAAAGCCTTGTTATTCAAAGCAATGACATCTCTAATCGAATCCGAAAGATCTCTCAAATACATCAAACACAAAGCCTTGTTATTCAAAGCAATGACATCTCTAGGGTCCTTCTCAATGCACTCCTCATGCTCCCTCACAGCTGAAACATAGTCCTTCGCCACTACGAACTCCAATGTTTTATTCCTCCCTATCAAATTCTCAAACTCCACTAACTCCCCTTTCTTCAACCCTTCAACTCTAAAAAACGACGCCTTTGCGCCATCCAAATCCTAATCTGAAGCTGAATATACCCCAACTCCAATGATTACAATAGATCAAGTTCAAAACGAAAACCTCCCTCCTCCTCCAATACTTAGACTTCTCTGATCCCTCTCGAACCCTCGCCCTCAAAAAAATCAAGAAGCTCATACAACCAATCCACAGTCTCAACATGACTGTTGAGCTGCTGTAGGAGCTCAGCGTAGAGATACCGCACCGCGAACGAGATCATGGATCCAGATCGGTTCGAGTACATTTCGGGGTAAGTTTCGTAGCGGTATTTAGGGGAGTTGAAGGGGACTAGAGTTTCGATCTTGAGGGAGGAGGTGGAGAAGTTGCGGAGCTTGAAGAGCGCCAGGGGGTTGAAGGCGAGGTAGACGATGTGTTCGTGGGGAGCAAGAGACGGTTGAGGAAGCGGGCGACGACAACCTTATCGGTGACAGAGTGCCATTGGCCGCGGGAGGAGAGGTCGATGAGGGATGCGAGTTTGTAGCATATGTCGGAGGGCGAGGTGAAGAGGTTGTCGGAGGAGAGGGGATCACCGACGGTTGAGGGCATTTGGATTTTGAGATGATGACAGAGGAAGAACAGGAGGAAGAAGAAGTTGTGTTTTGGAGAGATGACAGTGATTTTAGGGAGGGGTAAAGTTGGATTTTTTTGGGTAAAATACATATAAAATTAGGCTAAATGAGCTGGAGGGGCTGGGGCACAAAATTTTCAAATTTATGGCCCTACAGCACATTACAAAAAGTATGAGGGGCTGGGGAACATTGTCTTTTAAAATTTGGGGCCATGACACAATTTTTCCTAAAAGTTAAGAAAATTTTGAACACCCTCAGAATTAAAAAAATGTTCATGGAGATTTTTGCAATTCTTTGATTTTCGAACAATTGAAAGTTTTATCATATATTTGTCATTTTCTAATTTTCTAGGGTATTTTTATAACTTTTTGAATCTTTTGAGGATGTTTTTTCGAATAGATTTCTAAATTTTTAGTGTGTTTTAATGTAGTGATAGATAAACGCAATGGTGAAGATCTTTAAAAGGAAGTGGTTCTTAAGGGGTCACAATTGTATATGTATGCACATCAGTTATTCTAGATAGTAGTTTATGTAAGCAAAAATACTAGACAATCTATATAGCAGTTTGGTTTTATGTGGAGATGGATTCAATTAACACATTTAGCAAAGTAAAATAGTTAAACGGTTTGCAATCTATAGAAAACACCCTAAGAGTTTAAAAAAATGCAAAAGAACACTCAAATCTCAAATTTTACGAACCAAATACCCTAAGAATTTTAAACCTACAAACAATACACTTATAATATAGGAATTATAAATACTCCGTGAAGATTTAAAATTTGTAGAAAACATCCTCAATGTTTTTAAAATGATAAATAACAATCTAAAAAATTTAAAATATACAAAAAAAGCTACAAAATGTATATTGAAAATCTATAAACTAAAATTTGTAAAAAACTGTGAAAGTTTTGAAAATTACAAAAAAAAACTTTAAAGATTTATAATTTTTAAGGCGCATTTTTACAATTCCTTGATTTTTAGTGTAATGTCTAAAAGCTTTTGAAATTTTCAACGTGCATTTATAATTTTTTGAATTTCAAAGGATATTTTCTGCAATTTTCAAAACTCTTGGGTGTTTTTCTTATAGTTTTATAAACTTTCACGCGGTTTTTCAGTGTAATGCATAAATATATCAAGCAATGATGAAAATCTCTAGCAAGATGTGATTCTTAAGATGTATTAGATCATGGTTATGGAAGTATGCACATCCACGATCATATTGAATTCATCATAGATAATTATCTAGCAATTGAGTTATAATAAACACAAACTCAAAGGAAAAAATCAATATATTTGTCCACATGCAAGGCACGTGCATCCCTGAGTATAGGGAGGACATAAGTACGATTTTCTAATCTCCATTCTGGTATGAACATTATAAAATACGGGGTATCAAGCTATTTAAAGAACATATTGTATTAAAGATAAAAGGTGGCTGAAAATCATAAAACAATCCTTAACTTTAGACGATTATTAGATAATATTATCATAACTTTCAAAGTATCAGGAAAACCACCCTTAAATTAAGGATTACTAGAAAACTCCCTTTAACTCTAAGATTGTTTTTCAGAAGAACTCCACCCCCTCAACCCCATCACCGCNGGGGGGGGATGAGGGGGTTGGGTTGAGTCACAATCTTCACTGACAAAAATGTCACATGCTTTATTTTACCTACCCGCATAAAAATTAGATTAACTCTATTAGAGGGGTTGTTTTTAATCAAATATTAAAGATAACGGTTTTTTTTTATAACCCCTAAATTTAAGCGGGTTTTCAGATATTTTGAAAGTTATTGCGGTTATTTGATAATCATCCACAGTTAAGGGAGTTATCTAAATATTTAACTTTAAAAGCTAGAAAAAACTAAATATGAGATATTTTTCAAAATAAACTTAGTCAAACAGGACTGAGTTGTCATCTAAAACCAATTGGTTTAATTGCTTAACGCCATTGTTTTGTCCTCTCGTAATAATTTAGCACAATAAGACTCTATGTATGTTTGAGGTCCAAGTTAGGTATGAGATAAACAAGTATTTTTTCTTTTTTTATAAATTTAATTTTACGACTTATTCGTCTTTAGATCGGTCATCACCCCAAAACGCATATAAATTGACTTGATAAATAGTTAAGTCTATCTTTGATAGTACATGCACAGCTGTATCAACCTTATTCTAAGTCCTTAGAATAAGATAATACATGTCCATAGCCCTCTTGAAGTCAATTTAAATTACCAAATAGCAATAATGGCCATTAATTTCCTCCGGAGTTTCTTCTCATACGTTGGCTACAAATAGCCGAAACGAATTGACCATTTTTTGCAATTCGCATTAAGATCTCAAATAAAGGAGTGAGATTGAGCTGCAGGAAGAGGGAAAAAGATGCGCGGCCCTTATGTAAGTACAACTAACATGCCTATATATCCTTCCTAAATTATGTATCTATAGATGCATAAAAGATTTCTTATGTATGTATTATGTGTATATGTCTGAAAGGACATACACGCTTATTTGGGAACTATTAGATGAAACACAAGGACCTCCAACCCGAAAGGTGGTGTGCGGACATCTTAGCAATGATCATTGGATTTTGGTAAGAAAATTACACTAGTCGACGATCATATAAACAAGTTGAATTTTAACTTTAATTTTTTATATAAGAATATAACTTCAATATTTGTACATTTTTTTCCAGTTGCATATGAAACCAGGGGATCATCCGGTACCACCCATAGCATTTTACTGGAACGACCATCACGACAAATCTGCAGATGGTTTAGATGCACAATTTGCATTCTCGATCGGTCACTTTAACCGTCTCCACAATGAAGATGGAGAACGTCGAGCAGCAACAAGAAGAAGAAAGAACAATTAATTAGGATCGAAAAAACAATTGATGTATTTCGTTGAGTAGATTAATACTTTGATTTTCTAATTTATAACCCACCGGACACGGTGTCCGGTGGCCGACAGGCGCGTCAGACTATGTGTCCGGTGGGCAACAACAAAAAAAAAAGTGTCCGGTGGGACACAAAAAAAGACAGAGCAATTAATTACCCACAAAGAGAAGGGCAATTTATTCCATTTACACCCCCAAAGTTACTGTTTGGGAGTGCTATATATAGAAAAGATGGGGTATAATTAATATAAATCAGAACAATCGGCTCGCATCAGAGAACATAAATAGGTGATCAGTTTCACATATATATATTTGGCTCTACATATTTTTTATTAAAAAGGCGCTCGAGCTAATATGACTATGAGCTAGTTATACCGATTCAATATGCATTAATGATACATTAAAAAATTATTTTGAATTAAAATTTGAGTACTGATTTAGAAGTAAATATCTCTTCCGTATATTATTAATTATGTGAGAGTAGAAAATAATGTATACTTCATCTCTTTCATTGCATAATATCCTCCGATCAAGAGTTAACGTTATTGAAACTCTCCAACGGTGATGAATATCGAGGACGATCTTTTTAGTCAACTGACCAGCGAGATAAGATCTAGCTAACGTTATTGATGAACTCGTGACGTCTTTCATTAAGGTGCTGTTTGGTTCGTTTCCTTGATATAGAGAAATGCAATTCCATGTAAAGAAACACAAGTTTTGAGTTTTCCAAACTTTTTCAAGAAATAGATTGTTTTGCTTTGGTTCGCACATAAAAAATGGTGGGAAACCAATGTATTTATTTTTCTTGTGTTTGGTTCGCATAGAAAAAAAAGGAAAACTTTTGTAAACAAAGCAGAGAAGGAAAAAAATCTGACGTGGCAGAGTTTTCATCAATTTCACTTGGTTGGGGAAGGAAATCGGAGAGGGAAAAAAATCTTAGTTGGCGGCGATTTCAGCAGAGTTTTCCCTCTTCCATTCGAGCGAACCAAAGCGGCACAAAGAAATGGACGGAAACAAAAAAACTGACGTGGAGGGCTAAAAATCTGACGTGGAGGGGTTTTCTAAGTTTTCCACCCCTTATAATAGCGAACCAAACAGCCCCTAATTACCCACAAAGAGAAGGGTAATTTAATCCATTTACACCCCCAAAGTTACTGTTTGAAAGTGTAAATAGTTAGTGTGCTGGGCTCGAGGCGAGGAGTGCTGGGCTCGAGGCGAGGTGAAGTGCGCGCGCAAGAAAGCAGAAGGGGGGCGGTGCTTTCTCGTGGGCAGACCCACGTACCCACGTGGGTGGGTTCCACCCGTTCACACATATAATAAATTGACTTGCTAATAGCTAAGTCTATCTTTGATAGTGCATGCACAGCTGTATCAACCTTATTCTAATTAAGTCCTTGGAATAAGATAATACATGTCCATAGCCCTCTTGAAGTCAATTTAAATTACCAAATAGCAATGGCCATTAATTTCCTCCGGAGTTTCTTCTCATACGCTTGGCTACAAATAGCCGAAACGAATTGACCATTTTTTGCAATTCGCATTAAGATCTCAAATAGAGGAGTGAGATTGAGCTGCAGGAAGAGGGAAAAAGATGCGCGGCCCTTATGTAAGTACAACTAACATCCCTATATATCCTTCCTAAGTTATGTATCTATAGATGCATAAAAGATTTCTTGTGTATGTATATGTGTATACGTCTGAAAGGATATCCAAGCTTATTTGGGAACTATTAGGGGTTTAGATTGTCAAACTATTAAATAGTGTCAATCGATGATGTAGAACGTAAAATTATGGCCCTCAATCCGCATCATAATTAGTGGCTTCGGAGTTTTAGTGTAGTGGAAGGGGTTTTTTAGTTTGGTATCTCAGTTGACCAGAGTCAATTTCCACCGGTCACGCATTTAAAGCAAATCGATATCACTCAATGTGGTGGAATGATCTGTTATGTTGGTATCATAGTCATCGAGGTCCAATTCCCTCCATAATATCACTCAATGTGGTGGAATGATCTGTTATGTTGGTATCATAGTCATCGAGGTCCAATTCCCTCCATACGTATTTAAAGGAGATTAGGAAGAGGTGTTATGTTGGTATCATAGTCATCGAGGTCCAATTCCCTCCATACGTATTTAAAGGAGATTAGGAAGAGGTGTATTTTGGGAAGAGAGAGTAGCATGATCTTTATCAGTTTTTGTTTTCGGCAGCACAAGACGGGATAAATTGAAGAAGCACTAAAGGTAATTTATCTCTGAAGCCTGCTCAAATGAGGGATAAATTGAGAATTATAATGATTTGGGTGTAAATTTAAAATATCATCCATTTGGAGGGTATATATAGAAAAAAAAATCCTTTTACTAAATTAAAGAGGCGGGGGAAAACACCTTCAACATTTGGTTTGGTGTGACGTAGATCATTATATTTATCGAGAAACTGTAAAGTAGTATTATGTAAATAATGTATTTAAGTATATATATGAGTTGTGTACGTATATGGCAATATATGGCAACTTACAACTATGAATGAAAATACTCTAAACTTTGCAGCGATAATTCTAATTAAATTACGCTCTTCAAACTACTCCTAGACAAGGGTGGAAATGAACAAAATAATTAATAAATAGTTTGTTAACTGTTTAAATAACTATTCGGTTATATTCAAGGAAAAATTGCTTCAAGGTCCCAAAATTGAAAATACAATGTGGTCCAGCCCCCTGTATTATTTTTTATGTGTATTAGCCCCAAAAATGAAAAGTTAATGTGATTCTGCCCTTTTTACAATTCCCAAGAGAATTAATTCCCAAAAAACCCCAAACTACCCTCTTCTTCTTCTTCAGATCTTCTCCTTCTCCTCTTCCACCTTCTCTCCAACCTCGCTGGATACCTCCAACACCGTCGCCACCTCCGCCTCCCCTCGACCTCGTCGACTCCATCCTCAGTTGTAGCCCCCGCCGTCACCATCGCTACCCTTCTTCCTCTTCTTCTTCTCCTTCTCTGTCTACCCCCTCTTGAGTTTTGAGGGCTCCGTTCTCTCCGCCCGTCCGCGCCCCCGACCCCCCCCCCCGAGATAGAGCAGTATCTCTCGTCCGCCTCCATCCGCCATGTCAGCCCCTCCCGGTTCACTCTCTCCACGTTGTCAAATCCTTGGCGGGTCGGGAATCCTGATTTTGGCGGCTATTCGTCGGGCGTTGGAGTTGGTTAAGGGGATCGCGACCGAGTGTGCGGTTGTTTTTGATGAGGTTGATGGAGATCTTAGGAGTTCTAATTTGTGTTTTTTTGCTTTGTTTTGGGTGATTGACGGATTAGTTTGAGAGTTTAGGATTCGGGGACGGAGGGCTCGTAGTGGGCGGAGAAGGGGGTGGGACCAGTGGAGGGGGTCGACGGGGACGGAGTCGAGGTGGGAGTTGAGGAGGGAGGGGTCGAGGCCGGGGAGGGAGAGGAGGAAGGGTTTGGATTGGGAGAGCTCCAAGGTCTGGATGCGGAGGGAGGGGAGGGAGGAGGCGAGGGAGGAGAGGAAGGAGACTGAGGGGGTGTAGTCGGGGTTGGGGTGGGCCGTGGGCGGTTGGGATTTGGAGGTAGCGGCGGAAGGTCTGGAGACGTGATTCTTCCTCTGTCGTGAAGGCATGGACGAGACGGTGTTGAGTTTAGCTGATCAAGAAGCAGACAACCACTCATAGATTGACTTTTTGGAGGGCCAGCGTCTCGTTGACTATGGAAGATCAGATCACCGCTCCTCTAGTTCTCTGATTTGAAGTCATTGTGCCACAAATGTATCTGATGCACCACCAATTATACAATAGACTGAAGTTATTACTCATAATTATGTGTTACTTTTTTAACTTTTTTTTCCAAAAGAAAAGTTTATTCTAGTAGTGTCGTGTGAGTGTGATGATACATAGATATTAGTATTTTAGTCTGTATTGAGTAACATGTTCCTTTTTGCATGAGATCAGGATAACATGTTCCATTTTGTAATTTATTTGGTAAATATCATCAGAAACATGTTAACTTTCTTTGTTCGTTTGTTAAGTTACACTGGTAACATGTTAACTTTCATAGTTCGCTTGTTAACTATAATACGTAGCATGTTAACTTTAATTGGTAAATTGATAATTATATTCAGTAAACTGTTAACTATAATTCATTATCCGTTAACTGTTATTTGTAATCCATTATCCGTTAACTGTTATTTCGGGTCATATACACGTTAATATAGTTCTCATTTAACATGTTAACTATAATACGTAGCATGTTAACATAATCCGTTAATACATTAAAATAGAACTATAATACGTAAATTGATAACTATAATACGTAAATTGATAACTATAATACGTAGCATCTAACATGTTGTTGTTAAAACTTGTTTCTCAGCCACGCTGTTGTTAAAACCACCTGGATCACTTAACATAGATGTGATTGTTGTTAAAACCACCTGGATCACTTAATATAAGTGTGAATATGTGCTAATTCTTCTTCTTCACAAGAGTTAACATGTTATCCACAAGAGTTAACATGTTTGTCACAAGAGTTAACATGTTAGCAACAAGAGTTAACATGTTATCCACAAGAGTTAACATGTTATCCAAAATAGTTAACATGTTAGCTATAAGAGTTAACAAATTAGCCATAAGAGTTAACATGTTATTCACAAGAATTAACATGTTAGCCACAAGAGTAACATGTTATCTACAAGAGTTAACATGTTAGCCATGGATTGAGCTCGATGATTTTAACATGTTATCTACAAGAGTTAACATGTTTAGTAATTTAATGTTAACTCTCTTTAATGTTAACTGTGAACCTCTGTTAGTTGCTTGTTATGTTTGCGTGTTTAGATGTTAGCTTTCATGTTTTAGATTTTAACCCTCCGTAACTTATTGCTTGCTATGTCATCGTTAGTGATAACAGCACAATTACATACTCGGAACTACTGTATTTGCTCTGCGGGGGAAGACTCGATGACAAAGTAATAGAAGTCATCTTAGATAGATTACGACAATTGTTGCAGTTGCAGGAGAACGTTGCCTTAAATAAGCATTATGAGATTGTATCTACATATTTCTGCGTAAGACCAATCCTCATATAATTAGTTAACATCTAAGCTCTTATAATTAACATGTTAACCATAATAGTTAACATGTTAAAATAACCGTTAGTTACAACAATGAACATGTTAGCCATAAAAGTTAACATGTTATCCACAAGAATTAACATGTTATCCACAAAAGTTAACATATAACCACAAGAGTTAACATGTTATCCACAAGAGTCAACATGTTATCCACAAGAGTTAACATATAGTCACAAGAGTTAACATGTTATCCACAAGAGTTAACATGTTATCCACAAGAGTTAACATGTTAGCCATAACAGTTAACATGTTAAAACATAAGAGTTAACACGCTAACTACAATAGTTAACATGATAAATATTATGGTTAAAATATTAACTATTTGAATTTGAACCATGTTCATATGTTAAAGATCGCTCTTCCTTAATGTCTTAATTTTGTATAACAGCATTCACTCTATTCCCAATTATTCGCCATGATATAGTTGGTCACTTTACTGTAAAGAAGCAACAAAATCGTTTGTGAAACAATCAACAGATTTGGTGGTAATATCCTAATCTCATCTTTTGGTACACTATGATTCTCAATTATATTTAGGGATTAGGTAAATGTTAACAGTCAGTCAACTATAATTTACATATATTAGGTAAAACATAATAGTTAATCTACAAAACTTAATACTTAAAAGAATAAAGATAACAATTATTCAATTATACTTATATAGAACAACTAAACATTAATAGTTAATCGGCTATAGTTCACATGTAATAGGTAAAACTTAACAGCTAATTAACAAAACTTAACATTTAAAAGAAAAAAGTTAACATTTACTCCACTATACTTAACATGGAATAAATAAACGTTAACAGTTAATTTTCTATAGTTTACATTACTAACACTGCAAAACATGATACACCACCATAAAAATTGAACTAACATAAATTCACTTTATTCTTAAATACTTCCGTTCAAATCATAAAGCAATGGCATAAAACCAAACCTACATTCTCCACAATCAAGCTCTCCTCCACCCTAGCCTTCTTCTCCTCCACCTTCTGAAATCAACAGATATCGCGGCATCTTGCAACTCCTCATAACTCCTCATAACTGAGCTCACCATCAGATCCATGAAATAGCTAAACCCAGTATCACGTACAATCTCCTCATAACTCTCAAAGAAAGAAACCAAAATCTCTATTTTCTTTGTTTACCCACTAAAGCTCACAAATTGCTAAAACCCACCAAAAATAAATCACCAGGGGGGGATCAGACCCAATCTCTGCTCTTCTTTTATTTGTACACTGTATGCTCACAAATTGTTATAACCCACCGAAAAAACCATCACCAAAGAGAGCAAACCAGCTCCAATCTCTGTTTTCTACATGTTTTTTTTCACTTATAGCTCACAACTTTCTAAAAACGACGTCCAGCAAAAATCAACACAAAATGAGAGAAAAAAAAGGATAGAAAGCAACTCAAATGGATGCACACATGCAGATAGGATAAATTTGAACCCAAAAGACTTCAGCTTTTCAAAAAACAAGGGGTGCCGAATATCTGCCTTATTTCGCCCCCCCCTTCCACCACCTCCGACCACCCCACCACCGACCCTACCACCACCAAACTCGGCCAATCCCAGCGATTCCAGCGACCCCACCCTATCCCTAGATTCCTCCAGATCTAGCGATTCCAGCGGAAGAAGAGGCGGCGCGATGGTGGCGGCGGGGTCTACGACCGAGAATGAAGTCATAGAGGTCGAGGGAATGCATCATAGTTATGAACGAATACTTTTTCATTTATAAAATTGAATATTATATGAAAATCGAATTCTTTGGTGGAATGAATAAACTTTGATATTCAAAAAATATTCATAAATATTTATCATTTACTAAATATTTAAGTTCAAATTCGAGAAAATCCAAATATGGACATTCGAATTCGGATTTGAATTAGAATATCTTTCTAACCGCCCGTGAATGCTATAGATCATCCCTTCTAAGGGATAAGGGATGTTCTCATAAAATACTTACTCTTCAAATTTAATGAGTCATTAAGAGCCCACAACATTTGATGTAGTAGTTTGAGAGTAGTTTTAAAACGTACAGTCTAATATAATTATCACTAATCATGCAAGCAACTTACAATAGCCGACTTTTATGATTGAAATTTTAGATCGTAAGATGTATAATTAGAAATCTTCAAATAATATATGATCATTTTTTTGGAATCCAGCATGTGTTTCAAAATGTATACACCATAATGAACGGTAACATCATCATTACAGATGGTCACTTTCTATCGAGTAGATGTAAAACGTCTTTCAATCTAATGTATCATAACTTTATTCCATACATACATATGTACATTATTTGTTACTTATATTAGTTTATAATTATTCAACTCACTAAAGATGCACACTTGCTGGTGATGATTTTTCTGAAAACCATGAGAAAGTCTTAATTCATTTTGCCCCTCTTTTACCTTGTTCTTTTGTGGAGACATGCGTGAGAACTACGATCCATCGACTTTAACATTTCATGTTGCAAGCATGCATGTGCCTAAATAAGTTGAAATAATTTTTTAATCTCAAAAAAGTTACCTTTTTTTTTTGATAGAAGGGTTTTTTTGGGACTAAGTAAATTTTTATCAATTTTTTTGTCTTGTGCTTACAAATAACGTGTTATAGTTGACAGTGTCTATATGAGAACTAAAAGATAAAATTTTTTCGATCAGATGTAGTGACTTAAAATAATTCATGGGCGTTATGTACAATATCTCCTAGCATTTTGGGGAGTTTAGTCTAATAAAAAATTGATTGCGGAAACTCCCCAAAAGTTCTTTGGGGTTTTATGTAATTGAATCTAATTATTATATAATATTTTTCTAGATACTTAATCCCTTAAATCTTTCATATTTTGAAATTAGCCTCTCAAATCATTGAAATTATTAGGTACCCTATTCTTAAGTTATTCTAAAATTAGTCTCTCAAATCATTGAAATTGCTTCGATCAGTCCCCCAATTTTCATACGCTGTCTCAGTTTAATTTCTCTAATTGCTAATTACTACTTCAACTCTTGATTGAAGGGGCTCATTTCAAAATAAAGAAGTGAGGGACCTAATAGCAATTTCATGATTTGAAGGATTAATTTCAAAATAATCTAAGAACTGGGAGACCTAATAGCAATTTTAATTATTTGAGGGATTATTCAAAAAATAGACTAAGAATTAATAGAGATTTCAATGATTAATTTGATGGTCTAATTTTAGAATATTTCAAAATAATGTATATCTAATTATTCATATGATCTCTTGATTCATTTTTTTCATGGTGTTATCAGTGCCACACAACATGTAGTTCATGCCGTCCATGTGGCTCATATGGTTGCCAGAACATCTACATAGGAGGTGGAGGCGGTGGTGGCGGCGGTGGCGGTGCTGGCGGCGGCGGTGGATCCGGAATTTACCAAATAGTTGTTCAATCAGGAGGGACGATCATCATCAATTAAATACAAGTTGTATGATTTATCGTAAAGTTACTCCCTTCGTACTACTTTAAGACTTACGTGTTGGGCTCATCACCTTCATGATGTTGAGTCTCATGGATGGGTAATGTTATTTCTATTTTGCATTGTTTGCATTTGCTATGGTTGAACTTAATTATGGAAGTTGATATTCGAACTATTAAGTGTTGTATTCATGGATCAGATTGTACCATTGTGCTTTAATTTCGTAACTTTCTTAACTATTATTGATCACAAGGTTTGATAATACATGTTTCTATTTTATGAATTTGGCAAAAAGTTCTCTTTAATTTTTCTGGTCTTGCAGAAAACACTCTTACTATTTTTACTGTTTTGACTATGTAAACATAACTCAACGGGGTTAATTCTTCCAACCAGTTTGACAGTCCAAGAAATGTTGTTCCAATGAGCTAAACTTGGACTTCCTCTGATAAAAAATTGTGAGTTTCAAGTGAAAAAACAAATTTCTTAATTTATATCATTTCTAGGATAAAACAGAACCTTACTTGTTACTTTATTCTGATAAAACTTTTGTATATCAAGTGATTGACCAATGTCTATTTCGAATGAAAGTAGGGCAATACTCAATACATATCAAATATATAGAGAAAATGTACGACAAAAATACAAGGTCACAAATGTTGTCCGAATCTGTATTAATTAGTTTTTTCGTTTCGAAAAGATTTAATATGAAGGATATCTGCGAGAGGACCAAATATCGTCATTCTCGCTTAAATATACCGTTGCATTTAATCTGCCTTGGGATCCTTTACATCTCAGATTGTAACGGATGCCTACAAATCATTAGTAGCATTCTCACATCTAATGGACACCATATATAATTTTATTTAAATAAATTATACAAAAACTCTCTTAATTATTTGGCCATTGTATTAACCATCTTATTTATCCATCTATATGATTGTAGGCATTCGCTATAATTTAGCATGTACAAAACCCCATCTCATCCAAATTTAAAGTTGGCTTTTGTTGATCAACCGCATCCTAATCAAAATTTGCACTTAAAAACCGAAATTACCCTTAAAAACTCACATTAAATGTACATGACTCATTTTTGTAGTATTTAGGTCCTGTTACGATACAAGTCAAGTATCTTTGTATCTGGAACTTGAATTTTTAAGCTTCTATTTGGTTTTTTAGTGAAATTTGACTAGGAGTGGTTTTTTAGTGAAATTTGACTAGGAGGTTGTTGATTGCAATAAAACAACTTTGAAGGTGGGTTTTGTACAAATTGAAAAAGGTGGTTTCTATATAATTGTCCTATTGTTAAGGTGATTTCTAGGAAAAAACCCTTTTAACTAACTTCTTGTATCCCCCCCCCTCGAGGTTTGCCGTAAACCATTCCAACAAACTTGCCGCCGGAGTACAAGTTCTGAACTTGAAACCAGCTGCCTGCTACAGAGAATTCACAATTAGAGAATAAATGCTTTCCTCTCCTCTTGCACATAAATAGCTGTATTTGAAGATATAATGCCCATCCAACAGAGCATGTGTTGGGGTTGAACACACAACTCGTGCCCTTCCGGATCTTGTGCTAAGAGTAAGCAAGCAAGAAATCACAACAAATAAAAAAACTTGCAGGAAGAATAATCAAACCAGAGAACACCAAATTTAACGAGGTTCGGCAAACGTGCCTACGTCCTCGGGAGCCACACCAGAAAACTTTGATTAATTGAAGAATTACAATGCTCACAATAGCTCTCTCTCTCTCTCTCTCTCTCTCTCTAATATTTCTGATCTCAAAGAGCCGTTAAAACCCTCTTTTTTCGTGTTCTTTTTCTCTCCTAAACCTTAGAGGAACGTGTTTCTATTTATATCAAAACTCAATCTAAAACAGATTAGGAAACTGAAGTCTGCCACACCCGAGTGTGGTATGCACCACACCTGCTGATGGGGCATAAATATGTACCAAAAGTTACAAGTGCATAACTAATCAAGTTATAGTATAAAAAGTTATTGATCCCACGAGGAAGGTGTTTGTAGGAGAAAATTAGATTCGATTCTTATATTTTGTGCGTGACAATTAGGAGTGATAAAAATTATGATTGTGAAGAGATATGAGTAGTGTTGTGAATATGTGTAAATAAGCATAAAAGGTGATTGAGAGTGGATGTGATAAAGAATAAATAAATCATAAGGAAAGAAAAATAAAGGAAATAAAAATCAAAAAACAAATAAGAGAAAATCAAGAACTAAGAAAAGATCAAGAAAGAAAAGATGGAGGATTCAATTAAAGATATCAGGAATCTAGAATTGAATCCACTAGCTAATTTTAATTACAAAATATGAACTATTCTCTTTTTATCATGTTTTACTTTAGATTTATTAAGCATAGACTATCAAACCATTTAAAGAAAGTATAACCTATAAAATTATCATCTAAGCAAAATTAATATTCATGACAAGAAAAACGACTAGATAATAATTCTAGAATTCATAAGCATAACCTATCAAATCACTCAAGATAAGCATAGATTATTAAATTCTTCTTCTACCAATTAGTTCTCTAGTTGATTATCCTATACATGATTATTTTAAGAATAATTCATACAATATAAAGGAAATAAAGATAATTTTATACAATTCTAAGATTCCTACAAGAATTAGTTCCACATCTTAAGAAATAAAAACAATGAATGAAATGAAAAGAATAAGAACTAATTACAAAGAAAAGAAATAAGAACAAGGAACTTTACGCTATGAACAAGAAATAAATCTAACTAAATTGCAAAGAAATAAAAATACAAGAAAATAAATCTACATTATAAATTAAAAATGTATAAAATAAAGACAAGAAAATAAATCTACTCTACAAGACATGAATGTAAATCTAAACTAACAAGCAATAAGAAAGAAATTACTAAAAAGAAATAAAAAATAAAAGAGAAAAATAAAATAAAAGTAAACCTTCAAATTGATCTTCATCTCCATCATCATCATCAAACAAAGAGAAGAAAATTAAAGTGGTGAAAAATTTCTTTTTATTGATTGCAGCAAAAAGTTATAATTTTTAAAAGGTCTTCTCAATTAAGAGTAACCCTCCTCTCCAAATAGAGTTATAAAATTTTTTTCACCCTCTAACTCCTCACTCTCTACCCCTATTTATAGTAAACATCAGTGAATGATTGCATTTGGATTGAAATCTTATCCAAAAACCATGAATTTCAGCCTCAGGTTCGTAACTGCCTGCCGATGGTATTGATACCAGCATTGATAGGGGTATCGATGCTGGCATCGATACGGCCATCGATGCTGGCATCGATACGGCCATCGATGCTTTGATAGGGGTATCGATGCTGGCATCGATACGGCCATCGATGCTGGCATCGATACGGCCATCGATGCTGGCATCGATGCTGGCATCAACGCTTTCTTCTCTCTGGTTGTTATCCGAAAATTGCTCTTGTATTTGTTCTTGGGCTTGGGTTTTGGACATTTCTTCTTCTTTTTTTGGCTTTGGGCTTAGGCTTTTTGGCTCATGCTTGAGTTCTTCATTTAATCAATGGGCTTTTGTTGAGAGATGAGATTTTTGGGCTTTATTCTTTATTAACCTGTAATTAAAGATAAAAAAATTAGTAGAGGTATATTTATTCATTAAAAATAAATAATGATGGTATAAAATTATAATAAAATATGATTATCAAATACCCCTACACCTAAATTCTTGCTAGTCCTCTAGCAAAGAAAGAAAGAGAAAAGAAAATCTAATTCACTTTCGTAGGAATCGCGATTGTATTTAACGCATACAACAAGCCTTTAAACCCCTAGGTTATCCTAGTGGGCGAGTTGTAGTCTCGTGAGAGTTTGCAGTGAATATATCCATAAAATTCGGTCAACTTGCCAATTTAAAGAAGTTAGTAAATAACTAATTTTCTTTGATATATTTAGACATTCTAATTGAAACTAGTAAATACTCAAGAGAACGTTCTTATATATAATTCCAAGGTAAATCTCCTAGAAAATCTTTTCATTATAGCAATACAAAACCAAGTCAAATCTTAGAAATTTAATTTAAAAGTTTTGAAAAGAACATGCTAATTCTCTGTTTTAAATAACTTTCAAGTCTCTTGATCAAAAATTATTTTTCAAGATCATATATACAAAATAACAATATATAAAAAAAAGGTTAGTGTTATCTATTTATATATATTTTTTCACTCTTTAATTCTTGGTGATTTTTTTCTATTTAATTGGGCTTTCTAAGTGACTATTTGACGAGTTTTGGGCTAATGAATCCCAACCTAATTGGGCTTAGGTCATTAAGTATAGAGATACTCCTTGGGCTTAATTACTCAGTCAACTTAGGCTTTATAAGATAGAATCACCTTGAATTTAAGAGTTTTTTGTATACTACTTTAAAAAATTATTTCTTAAGAAATTTATTTGGAGTTATCATAAAAGGTGAACTTGAGTATATCACTAACAAGGAATTAGAAAATTTAAAAGCTACCAATTAGATCAATTATTACTTAACTCTATTAATTTGGCAAATGACTTTTTTTTTAAAATTTAACTAACACAAGACAAATGCTAAATTTTTTTTTACTGAAACAAAGTACTAACTAGCAAAATACAAAGAAAAAGCTAACTAGCTTACACCCCCACACCCAGATTTTGCATTGTCCTCAAAGAAAATACTAACAATATATCACGGTTTATAAGTACATGCCGAAATAAAAATCAAAGTCTGGGTAAAAAGAACATCCCTCACTGCTCATCTCCAGATAGATCGTCATCCACATCATCAGCGGCAGCTGCTGAACTCGGTCCCGCCTCATCCTCTCCTGGGAAATTATTAGCCTGAAGCGGTGTGATAAAACTCTAAAGCTCAGGTGGAGGTCCAGCTATATCTCCATGTTCCCTCTGTCATTCTCTTCCTCTGTCATTCTCTTGCCAAATATGCCAAGGTTTCGGTGGTGTAGTTCATCTGACCCTGCATCTTGTGCATATGAATCTGCATCATGTCCATACAAATCCGCATCCTTTCCGACTCTTCACGAATGGGGTCATGTGTAATTGGTTGGTGCTGAGGAGGATCTCTACTTGAAGAATTAGACTGATCTCGCCCTGAAATGCTCCTCCTCACAGTCTGATCATTTAATAACCCCTTCCCTGCTTCTAGTCTATCCTCTGCAAATATTGGAACATGAA